TGAACAATACAGTACTTATATTTTACAACCTACAATCAACAGGTGAACAATATAGTGAAATATAAGTACAACCTACGACAAGTAGGTAAACAATATAGTAAAATATATGTAAAATCTTCAATCAACAGGTGAACAATACAGTAAAATATAAGTACAACCTACAATCAACAGGTGAACAATACAGTAAAATGTAAGTACAACCTACAATCAACAGGTGAACAATACAGTAAAATATAAGTACAACCTACAATCAACAGGTGAACAATGCAGTAAAATATAAGTACAACCTACAATCATCAGGTGAACAATATAGTAAAATATAAGTACAACCTAATAATTCCAAACCTTTGACAAGGGCAATGTGCCCGTTAGGTTTTGACGAATTAAGGTACTCTCGAACCTTAGAGTCTCCAGCGACCACAAAAATTCAGGGACACTGACGACACTTTTGGTAAGAATAGAACAATGTACTTGCATCGGCGCTTCCATTTCATGAGTGATTTTATCTCCTTCGTCAGAAACGTGATAATCATCTAGCGAATATTTAATGTAAAGCGTATTTATTCTGATTTCTGAGCAATGTTATCTCATACTTTCAAGTTAACCTTCCATTGCCCATTCGTAAAGCGTATTTATCCTCATTTCTGATCAATGTTATCTCATACTTTCAAGTTAACCTTCCATTGAACATTTGTAAAGCGTATTTATCCTCATTTCTGAGCAATGTTATTTCATACTTTCAAGTTAACCTTCCACTGAACATTTGTAAAGCGTATCTATCCTTATTTCTGAGCAATGTTATCTCATACTTTCAAGTTAACCTTCCATTGAACATTTGTAAAGCGTATTTATCCTCATTTCTGAGCAATGTTATCTTATGCTTTCAAGTTAACCTTCCATTTCACATTATAACGTACATGTAATTAGTCTATCTGTGTTACTTAATAAATATACAAATACTCCAATTCTGATCCCCAGTGGCTCAGCGGTAAGTCTGCAGGCTTAACTTTAAAATTGGGTTTCGATACTCGTGGTGGGTAGAGCACAGATGGCACACTGTGTAGCTTTACTCTTAACAACAACCAAATCAAATTCAAATCTGTAATTGAATGTTCTTAATTCCATGGCTTATTTTATTGGTTCCTCAATTGAAGATTGTTACTTCTAGGTAATGTACACATTTATAATTTATTTCACAAAACACTTTTTGTGCATTATAGACCTATTTAAGGAAAAAATCCAAGAGAAACATCTTACTTCTATTATACCTTCATAATGTTTGTCATAGAAGGTTAAGAACACTATTTTTTTTTGTTCTCGTTCTTAAACCATGGAGTTAATGTTGTCGGGAATATATCT